AGTTCACTGCCCTCCAACAGCGTGTGAGCCTCTCACGGCTGCTGACACTGAGGTGCTGCTTGACCGTGTTTTGCTGGTTGCCTCTTTATGTCTCAGTCACGATGCAACTGTTTTCAGCAAACTATCCTCACCAATTACACGCTGTCATGTAGTGGCTGATTTTTATCCAATCTTCCGCCTTCTCGCTCCTGCTTGTCTTTGACAAAAGCTACAGGCGGGCTCTGAAGCGATCGGTAAGCTGTGTTTTCAAGGCATGCGTAGTGCGTGGAAATAACTTCGACCTCTCCAAGTCACTCGACGGACTTGGGCTGAAGGTTGAGCGAGAGGGGATAGAGCAAGTACAACTTAAAAATGTTGTATTAAGCAAGGTTTAATTAAGTTTCAAAATTTAAACACTGTACTGTTTTCTCATGGCCAAGCCTTTTAATCTTTTTTACTGCATTATAATTTTGACGCCATGAAGGCAGCGTGGCCGAGTGGTCAGCGCGTCGGACTCCCAATCCGGCGGTCCCGCGGGTTCGAGTCTCGGCGCTCTGACCACTTGCTGGATTTGTTCCCGGTCTTTTCGAGTTCAAATTCTCGGCCACGCTTGTAAATAGCCACCTGGTTGCCTCCCGCCAGTTGTTTTTTTAATCCTGTTATGTTGTATTTGAATTATTTGTTTCTAAGTATTTGAGTGCAGTGCCAGTAAACTAGCTGCATGGATAAGCTAAGTGCACTTTCCACTGTAAAGAAGCCTTTAAACTTTAACTCGCTATAGTACTATGTTTACTACTTCAGTGTATTTCAGACTGCAAAAGAGCCCGTATTTGTACAAAGGTCAAGAACGCTCGAGCAGGCCAGACAAAAGACCGGGAGCAACTGAGTGAAAGCGGAGAATGAGACTTCGAGGAGAGACCTGAAAAATACGCTCGTTCATTTCGCGCGAGAATCTCACGCCGACGCCTCCCTTGAAGAACCGATCTTGAAAAAAGAGACTTTTATGCCCCTTGCTCGCTTGCCAATAAACCATGTGCTGTACAATGTGCATTGCTAGGGGTGAGCTCGGTTTGCTGGGAGAACTGAACGGACACCATTATGTTTGCCCTGCACCGAAGCTGAACTGAAAGAGGCCTGAAATCACATGTTCGGATGTTTAAGTATCTACCATTGTAAGTCCCGGATGTACCCATCCGGGATACTAAAAAACGCCGCGCAGGCTGCATAAAATAATTTATTCCCCTTGGTAATAAATGTCATTTTTGCAGTCTAGTGTATTTTGAACCTCCGAATTGAAACATGGGGATTTCATTTCTGAAAATGTCAATGGTTGAGCTTATGGTCCAGCCTTCCGCTTCTCCCTGCTGAGCTGAAGATCTTGACAATTTACGACGGAAATATATAATTTTCTTGACACAGGATGTTTGACCAAACAAATGACTTTTTTTACCTACAATGGAACCTCTGTTCAAGGGGGCGCCTCGGCACCAAGGCAAGTGTCCCTTGAATAAAGGTGTCTCTTGAATGAAGCTTGGGCTGGGATTTGTTAGCAATTAATCAACAGATGAAACATTTTATTCTACCTCGGAATCTGCTACAGTCATTGTCTCAGGCAGCTAGATAATGCATAAAAATTAAAAATTATGATTAACTCATCTCTGCGATGTCGTGTGTTGAATTCCCACAAGTGCAGTACATCGATTTAAGTGCTCAGCTTATACATAGGCCCGATAGGCCCGGGGGAACTCGGAAATGGCCTATTACTTGAGTTGATTTGCATTCATAGGGCCCACGCAGGGGTAGGACCAGGGGAGCCTTGCCCTCCCCCCCACTCTTTGTGCGAAATAATAATAATTAAAAATTATTCCTAAAGTTTTTCACTAAATGAAGGTTTTGATACTTAACTGAGGATCTGGTTTACATCATCGTTCACAATAGGGAATAACAGCGTACATTAATGATTGTGTAGCTGAAAAGCTGCGAGCGCTAATTGTTCAGCAATTTTTTGCGTTTGTTAACTATTGAGGCTACAGGGTAGTTTTTGCGTGACAAAGGCATAGAGATTTATGTGACTATTAAAGTTTTTGCGACGTGTACTCTATGGAACCCTGCGCTGCATAAAGATTGGACATGCCATACATTTTACATTTCCGCTGATGAAAGTCGCGAAGAAGCCCAAACAAGTTCGTGTAAACGTAACGGGCGTAAACGAGGCCACTTCCTTTTGGCCTGCGGACTGCGCTGGAGATAATTAAAAAAGGGATTTAGAGTGTAACGTTTTCGCAACGTTTACGGCAAACAACAAAGGTCAATTTGTACCACGTGACTAAATTTTCCTTTTACTTGTCGTTTACTGTTAACTATGACACTACTATCTCTTGACTGATTCGAAGTAGGATGTATGGTGTTGAATTTAGAAAAAAATGTAAGCAGGGCTTTCTTTCCCTGGGGACAAAGCAAACTGTCGTGTCCGTATTAATCGGGTGTCAGTAAAGCGGGGTTTAACTATATATCCTTTAATGCTTTCTGGAAATTTTAATGCTTGGAAATTTAGGATGGGGGCGGGTTAATTTTTGGTCCAGGGATTTTTTCTCTGAGTTGGCGGCTTCACGTAAAAGCTCAAATTCCGAGCTTGGTAGACCTGTGTTACTGAATTGGATATCACTTATGCCACGGCTGCCATATTGAACAGCGCAATTTCTAATATCAACAGTTTGGTGAACAGTTCGAGGTTAGATTTATCACTAATTTTCTTACAATTTTCGTCTTTCAACCGCATAAGCCGCAGAAAAATTCGCTGTTCCTTATTACATGTGTCGGAAGTAAACGAGAGCTGGACAAGACAATTTCCCGCACCTAAAGACGTAACACGTGGGAATATTCATCTGATCTGCCGGCAGTGATACGACAGTCAGCGGTAGGTATTTTTGGTCACATTCATTCCACAGCGTAGAATACAGGTCATTCATCTGAGCTATAGACAACTAAACAAGACCAGAAGTGTCTCCTAGCCGTAGTCCCTATCCAAAATGTTGTGTTTGATCGCGGGGAAACTATTTTGTTACCAATCAATAAAACAGTGACTTACTGTGATCGTCGTGGCTTGTAAAAGAATAATATTATAAAAGAAACCTCTCCTACAGTCAGGCAGTCAGTTGTTCAACGAAAAATCATACGCTCGATCAATTTTAAGATGCAAAATGCTTGAGAGTTACTCCAGGGCCTTAGCAAGCCTTTAGAAACTAGGGGTAACTTTTAGGTAGCTCATGAAAGGCATAGGGTTTTGAGTCCGGAGGACCTATTGGACTGGTCTCTGTATCTTAAAACCAGAAA